CCGGCCTCAGACCAAAAGTTTGGGTTATATGTTTCCTTTCTAAAGCCGGTTCACACAGCCGGCTGCTGCAGTGCATGTGTGTGGCAGAACGTCTGGTCTCAGCTGCAGCAGAGCTCCACTAGAGAGTCGAGGTCTCGCCAGTTATTTCCACAAGCTGTTTAATGCCCAGCAACAATACCCAGTGAAAAAGGCCCTAAAGTCTTACTGACAATATTCCAGCAGCATATACGGCTTTCGCTGCACTTTCACTATTTCTGCCTCCTGTATCTGTTTGAGATTAATATCTAATCTCTGATAGAATGCATTCATATATCAACAAGGCTTTATTGTACTTTATTAAAGGTAAACTTTGTATAGGAAGATGGGGCTGGCTTCAGCAGAGACGCTCTCAGTGTGGATACCACAGGTCCACTGCTCAGGTCTGCAGTGTGGACCGGGTGTAGAAGTTACAAAGAACTTCCTGATAATGTTACAGCCGTCCTGCACTCTGCATCTTCCTCTCAGGAGACCTTTGGGAGTGTTTGTCCTGACCTCTTACCTCATTATGAGCTTGAGCCTAACCTTAGATCCTGGGGCAGAGGTCAAAGCTGGACTTTAGACTAAAGGAGAAACAACTGTAAGTTCTCTCTGCTCAGCTGACACAGTCACATAACGACTCTGTAGGAGGAGGAGTAGTAGCTGGATTCAGACGAAGACGACCTGTGATCTTTTGACCGTGTTTGTTGATTGTTCATTCATGTTCTGGGTGTTCGTCACTGCTTTCTGTGCGTCTGTGAACTAGTTGTCCATGTTTTAAACATAAATCACTGTTTACAGACTTTGTCTAAACTGGTGGTCTCCGTCCTCAGATGTGGCCGCTGTCTCCGTGTGTCCTCCTGTGGCCCTGCACTCGGGCGTGGGACTCCTGTGTCGGCTGTTTGAGCTGTGGGGGCAGGAACCGGCCGGTGTCCTCGCTCTGACAGAGTGGCTGCTGGGAGAGGAAGAGGAGGGCGATGATGAGGCGGTGGCAGATGAAGCTTCCAGTCTGGTGAGAATCTGTGGCTGTCCGGGAGCTGACCCCGTGGCACAGGAACAAACAGTACAAACATCTTCTAGCAGCGATTCCCGTCAGAGTGTGACTGATGGACAGATAGAGTAGCATTGTTTGGTTCTGCTCAGTAGAAGTCAAAATAAAAGGTTTCCGCTCTCTGTCACACGTAGCTGATTGCCAATATCTTCAGCTACTTATTGATAGATAATCGCTCTGTCTTTATTACTGATCTAAAGAAAACACAAAGTAACATAATAGAACTCAGAAACATCCTATAGAGCAGGATCCCAACCAACAGGGGTCGCCAAACCTCGACGGGGTTCTTCATTTTAAAGGTTGTAAAAGCATTTTGTTCATTTCTTTAAAGAAAACTAAATAGAATCTGTTCTGTTGTTGTTATGCATTGAATATAATATGAAATATCCATAAAATATATGTCTGTGAGTCAGGGGAGGACAGTTGACTCTGTGATAAGAGATCTTAAAGGGAACCAATCATATAATGTACCCTCCTTTAAAATAACAAAGGAAAAACAACCACCTCCCACCAAACTGTATGTTTCTTTGCACTCAGTATTAAACCACAAAACCAGAGCTTTTTTTTTAAATGTTTGAAAATATGTTAGACTGTAAAATATAATTATATCCAGATGGAAGTGCAACTGAGACATGCAATCTTCCTAAACACAGCGGGTGTTTTCCTTACGCTGTGGAGGATCTGCTCCAGAGGACAGGCTGATGTTCATTCATTGATCAGAGTCTTTCAGAGGAGATCAGTTCCACTAAAATCTACTAAAATTACACTAACTACGGGTCAAATGATGATGTGTGATGTGCACGGTGTCGCTTATACTGACAATAGTGAGAATTACTGCCTCATTTCGTAGTTTCTCTCAGTTCTACGTAGCATTTAAACGTTTTAGAGATATTAGAAAGTTGTGATATGAACCCAGTTTAAAAACAGACAGGCAGGTTAGCAGGTGAACACAGAGGAGCATTCAGCAGCTGAAGAGTGTAATATTTCCTTCTGAGGTCGGTGGAAGCTAAACTGATTTAAGTCCTCATCCAGTAAACTGTCTCCCGTTTTGTGACCAGGATGAAGAGGACTTCCTGTTTGAAAAGGGGGATCTGAACCTGTGGGCCGAGCCGGTCCAGTGGGTGAAGCTGCTTCACGGACACCTCGACTCCCTCATCCTGACCTTCAAGCAGACCCAGGTCTCAGGAATCTCAGAGCCGGACCAGCTCCACCAAATCCGTACGCTGTCCACTCGGGCCCGAGCCAAGGCGCTCGGCTCCCAGCAGGCCCTGGACTCGCTCCCCGCCCTGCCCCAGTTCTCCTGCACCATGGAGCACGCCCGGCTGGTGCTGCGGAGCCAGAGGGCCGCTCTGGCTCTGGAAGTGCTGGAGAGGCTGAGGTAGAGGAGTCCGAGGGTTTCTGATATTCAAGCTTCTGTTTGTAACTTTCAGAACGCTGTGGAGGGGGGGGGGGGGTCTGATTTGGTCCAATCTGTTCAAAAAGTGATGAATACATAAAAATAATAAAGGAATCTTACATATGGATCCTTTTAAAATAAAGAAAGAGATAAAATAACTTCCATGAACGAACGTATGAGACCACAGACCGGCTTTGTGGTTAACCAAAGGAACGAAACAATTGGGTTTTTCTTTTTTTACTGTACGTGTCTCTGATTAAAAAATGTTTTTAATTAAATTTTTTGTCTGAAATTCCTGCGTTTTTTTTATCCCAATGTTGTCTTTTCCCTCAGAGGAAAGACATAAAGTTGAATGTCTCACACATTTAATGCTAATAGTTTGAATAAAGAGGCAGAAGAGACAGACAGTAGTAATAATAATAATAATAATAATAATAATAATAATAATAAAGTGTGGCAGCTGTGAAGCCGTAAGAAAATGAGAGCAACACTCGATGCACTGTTCTCTGATCAGTGGGAATGTGTCACACGACTGTACCGCTGTGAGCACTGAGCGCGGGCCGTAGGTCCGGCAGGGATTTAAGGTTTCTGGAACAAAACAACTCCGCGCCTGAAGCTTCAAGCAGCCCAACTTCAATGGTGTGATTGTGCAGCGAGGAGCTTTTTATGAGCGAGGCACTGGGATTGTGAAAGCAAGTGTTTTCTCTCCCGACACGTCACCAAAGTTGTATTTCAGTGTGCGCTCTGACTTCTACTGTATGTTTATACGAGGTGTTATTTTCCTGTGATATTTAATTTACTGCAGGATTCTTCCCATTGGACTGTGTTTTTATGCTTCCCTCTACTTTTCCTGGTTATGTAATTAGGACGGCACAATGGACTACTGTCCTCTGTGTGTGTGTGTGTGTGTGTGTGTGTGTGTGTGTGGATTCATGCTGACCCCCCCCGGTCGATCGCCATGTTCCCTGTTACAGTAAAACTGACGTAATGTTTTGGAGCAGCTCGAACATCCCCCAATAAAAACAGAGCCGTGTGATGGGAGAGCGGTTTCTGTGGACGAGGACATGTTCAAGGGATTTCTCAGGAGCCTCGCCGCGTCTGTCCTTCACATTAAACTATTTATCACAACTTGCAAAAGCGCAAATAGTCCTGGGGCAGCCCTCAGACTAATTTTAGGGTTGGTAGTAGTAGATTCCAACCTCTTATGTCACTTGTTTTTCGCCTTGTTGCTATTTTTCCTCTCTCTCTCTCTCTCTCTCTCTCTCTCTCTCTCTCTCTCTCTCTCTCTCTCTCTCTCATATATATGTCACCAGGAGAAAAATCTTCCACTTATGATCCGATATGGAAAAGACTTAATGGTTACCAGTGTCGCACAAAGCGGCAATTTCTGGTGAACAGTTTCTACCCCCTCCCTGGTTGGGAGCCCTGATATATATAGACCCCCCCCCCCACTGCCAACACTGCAATCTTTCCACTGTGGGTTTTAAAAACTTGACATAACTCCAAGAGTGGAGTAGTTTGACATTTTCATGTGAACATTTTGCCATCCTGGGGAAGGTTACATCACGCTGAGCGGGGGGGGGCAGGTTCTTGCAGCCGCACGGCGCCCTTTGACCCCACAGAGGCGGCACTGTGGCCACCAGAACATCTCTGGAAGAGTTTCTGCCCAACAGGCCTCTGTGTGTGTGTCTGTGTGTGTGTGTGAGCCTTCCTCCAGCTTCACTCAGCAGGTGGCGCCCCGCTCTCTCTCCCCCCGGCAGTTCCCAGTTTGCTCTCAAGGGGGCAGTGTTGCTCTGCCATGAAAACCACATTCCTGCAGTCTGGGCTCTGAGATTTGGTGGGGGGGTCTTAGAAGACTGCTTAAACCAAGTAAAATGCTTCTTGTGTTTGTAAAGAGATGTGTGATTTAAAGGTAAAGTGTCTCTAACGGTGCAACCGGCTGCTGCTGCACGGTGCACGGTGCAGGAGCATTATGCAACCGGTGGAGTCTAAAAATTGTCCTGCACTCTGCCTGGACTCCTCTCCGCTCATACTTGTGGTCTCACCCCATCCACAGGGAGAGAGAGGGAGAGAGAGTTTCCTTCCATTACAAATACATATGTCAGCTTCCAAGTGTGGTGGTCCAGAGGCTCGAGGGGTGGCCTTGTCACTGGGTAGGTAGGTGGCTGGCTCAGACCCCCAGGAGGGAGGGAGGGAGGGAGGGAGGAGAGGTGGAGGAGCTCATTTCTCCTTTATTTCCAATAGAGCAACACATAGTGCTTCATTAGAGGTGTGAGTGTGTCACAGCCTGCATGCGCCTCAGAGTCACCCCCCCCCAACAGCAAAACCTCCACAAAACTGAGTGAAAGAAAGAAAGAAAGAAAAAAGGAAAAGTTGAGAGGGGTGTGAGGGAGGAGGGGGAGGGAGGAAGGTTGGATTTCAAGGCGTGGTGTTAAAGAACAGGCGGCCAACCGGTGAATGGAAGGTTTTTTTCAGGGGAGGAAGGGAGGAGGCTGCTGCTCGCTGAAGTTTACACCGACTTGAGCTCGCCCCTCCCCGGCCTCCGTCAGGCGTTAAATACGCATGTGTTCCTCCAGCGGCTCACAGTGAGGCTCTCTGGCTCAGCGCTTCTCGAGGGGAGGAAATAAAGCCACCTACAACCCAACAACACAACCCTGTCCCCCCTTTTCTCTTCTCCTTCCTTTTTCTACGGACTTAAGCTGCACGTTGAAACTTTTAAAGCAACTTTTCCACAACCAAAAACCAGTCGTGGCACAAACTACCGCCCGTCGCATCCAAGGATCCTGGTCGGTCCTCCATGAAAGAGGGAGTGCGGCAGCTAACCTGGGGAAAAGAGATGTCTGCGACCGTCTTGTCTGCTTTCTACGACATGGACCTGCTTTACAAGGTAAGGTCTGCCCGGACACACACACACACACACACACACACACACACACTCTGTGCAGCTGCAACAGGTTGCACAGTAAAGTTGGTTAAAAAGTCCCAGAAAGTCTTTGTGCATTGCTAACTGTTCCCTCTTTCCCCCCCACAGCAAGATAAAAGCATGAACATGAACGCCCTCCACATCAACAGCATGCTGGATAAGAAGGCGGTGGGGGCTCCGGTCACGACTCCGGGCTCCGGAGGCTCCTTCGCGCCGGGATTTTTCCGCAGGAACTCGACCAGCAACGTGGAGGCGATGAACAACGGCAACAAGTACTCGATGGGCTCCTACGGAAGCCTGAAGGAGAACACGCCGAGCAGCAACAGCAGCAGCGCCACGGCCCTCATGAACAAGGAGAACAAGTTCCGCGACCGCGCGTACAGCGAGAGCGGAGACCGGGGCGTGCTGCAGCAGAAGCCCGGCTCTCAGATCAACTCCACCCGCTACAAGACCGAGCTGTGCCGGCCCTTCGAGGAGAACGGGTCGTGCAAGTATGGGGAGAAATGTCAGTTCGCTCACGGCTACCACGAGTTGAGGAGCTTGTCCCGCCACCCCAAGTACAAAACGGAGCCGTGCCGCACCTTCCACACCATCGGGTTCTGCCCGTACGGTCCCCGGTGTCACTTTATCCACAACGCCGACGAGCGCCGGCCCGCTCCGGCCGCCAACGCCAACGTGCAGGCGGGGGAGGCCCGGTCGGCCCGAGAGCTGTGCGGCTACGGCCACAGGGACGTCCTCCCCCCGCAGCAGCTCGGCTACACCCAGAGAGACAGACCAAAGCTCCACCACAGCCTCAGCTTCTCCGGCTTCTCCACCCACCACGGGCTGGAGTCTCCCCTGCTCGACAGCCCCACGTCCCGGACCCCCCCGCCGCCCACCACCGCCTCCTCCTGCACCTCCGCCTCCAGCTTCTACGACGAGGTGCTTTCACCCAACTCCGTGTCCTGCATCAACAGTGCCTTCAACTTCCCCGGACAGGACTTAAAAGCGTTGCTGGCCCCCCTGGCGGTGCACACCCCCAGCGGGTACGCCAACAACCACTCCGCCGGTGCCTACTACGGGAACCTGCAGGGCAGCGTGTGCCCGCCCTCCCCTCCGACCTACAACATGAGCCACTTGCAGGCGCTGCGCCGCCTCAGCGAGTCTCCGGTGTTCGAGCCTCCTCCCAGCCCGCCAGACTCGCTCTCTGACCGGGAAAGCTATGCGAGCGGGTCCCTCAGCTCTTCCGGGAGCCTCAGCGGCTCCGAGTCCCCGAGTCTGGACGCGGGAAGACGGTTGCCAATCTTCAGCAGGCTGTCGATTTCTGATGACTAAAAACACATCAAATGTTTTTCATGCGGATTTATGGACGGATCGGGGCAGGGTGGTTGAGGAGCCCTGTGTGTGTGTGTGTGTGTGTGTGTGGTGGGGGGGGGTGTCAGTGTGTGAGGTAGACTGTCCTTCAAGCAGAGGATCCCGGTTAACCCCCCCTCACCCTCCCTCCCCAGATCTTCAGCAGCAGAAACTCACCCTGCCCAAGTGCCTTTGAGCAAGACATTGAATCCCTCGCAGCTCCAGGGTGCTGACCCTGCTCTGACCTCCCTGGAGGGGGGCAAGAGGAGACACCCACAGGGATCAATAAAGTGAGCTGGCATTAGTTAGTACTCTTCCTTTGTATGTAATATAGCTGTATTAAAACTTTAGATAGCAAACAGAAGGCATTCCATCAGTGCCTTGCCCGAGGGGCTCACGGCAGCCCTCCTTCTCCTCCTTCTCCTCCCTTTGGTTTTTTTTTTTTTTTTGCTCTATCAGGCAAAGCCACACTTTCCCTGGGATTTAGATGTGTGGGTAACAAGACTTGACAAGAAGAAGAGACTGTAAGCGGTGTTTCAGATTTCCTCCCATCCTGCCAAGAATATGCCTTGACTCAAAGTAACATTTATTTCTTTTATCAAGTGTCTTTTTATTTCTTTATTTCTGAAAGCTTCAACTTCCATTCCAGACCTGTCTTCTCCTCCCAGCGCCACCCAGTGGTTCGTTTGGTTACTTCTAGTTTGTGTTGCTCGGTTTAAGAAGCACTCTTGAGTTGGGTTTGTTTGGGGAAATCACTGCTGATGGTTGAATATATATTTTTTTAGCTGTTTTTTTGAGTGATTTACATAGCTGTGCATAACTGGCTATGGACTATTTAACTTATTTATTATCTTGTGAAAACAAAAGTATAGGCTACATTGGTAATTTGTGTCCATACTGTATTTATCAAGTATGATGAAGCAATAGATCTATATTCTTTTATGTTTAAATTATGATCGCCATTATTAATCTGCATAAAGTGGAGTGTATGTTCTTTTCACAGTAATATATATATTTTGTTTTTCTCCTTTTTTGTTTTTTTTGTTTTTGTAACTTCACTTTGGTTATTTTTATTGTAAATGAGTTAAAAAAAAAAAATCTTAATTTAAGAGAACGTATGTGATATTTATTTCATTAATTTTGTTTCCTTGTTTACGTTTATTAAACAGTTTGCGTGATTGCTGTTTGCTCCTGAGGTCGTGTGTCAGTGCTGTAGAAGGCTTTTTGTTCTGGAGGATCCCTATTGTAGATGTTTCTGTAGAATGTATCAACAGTGTGGTTGTACAGACCGTCCAAACCTTACTTCTTTTTTTTTTTTTATCTAGATCAGACGTCAGTGACAAAGAACCCAAGTCAATAAATTAACCAAAAAAGTATTTTTATTTTGTTTTTGTTTTCCTCTGTTTGCACGAGGTCACACTGTGATTCCAGCCACGTGCTAAAGAATGTAGCAATCCCTTGTTGCCCCAGTATTATTGTGTAGTGCCTATGGGGTTCACCATCTTCAACATGCCTTAAAATTAACCAAATAAAGTATTTTTCCTACATATGGCATCTTTTATACACAGGTTGAACTGAATGTAGTGTTTGATTTTTATTTTATTTTTTAAAGGTTGTTACCACTCAGATACTCTGATTAAAAGAACAACCGTAACCTTTCTAAATTCCCATTCCTCTTATTATTATTTTGTTTTTGATATTGAAATCTAGTCTGAGTCTTTGAGTTTGCTGGAGAGGGAAGTGGATGAATACGTTTGGTTTGTACATAGTAGGTACAGGGGGATGCGCACTATGTACTTTTGACTACTTTATCAGAAGTAAAGCTTTTTGAATGTAACAAAAAACGGACAAAAAGACAACGAGAGTTGTGATATTTTTTTGGGGGAGTCAGTTCACTACAAATTGAGTGTGAGACTGTTAACTTTGTACTGTACATTTTTTGTAGTTCTCCCAATAAAAATCATTTTGAAAAAGCTTCAGACTGCCGGGCTCTGGTTTCTTCTTCGTTGGTGTTAATCAGTGTGAAGGTCTGACAGAAACACACCAGATGTTCCTGCACAGCTGTCTGGGGGACCTCTGGGTCGATGTGTAGACCCTGAGTGAACTGTATCTGCACCCTGGGACAGTACAGATCAGCGTTAGTCCTGAATAAACTAATATTACATAATGTCTGCTATAAACGGAGCGCGATGAGCGACGAGTCTGCACCATCTGAGGAATGAAGACTGGAATTTTAAAATGGAAAATGTGTAGGGAGCCCAGAGCCACACGTGTGGGCAGCTCAGCGTCCATCAGGAGGAGATCTGTCTTCCAGAGGAGAGTTTGTATGAAGGTTAGGCAGCGGTGGAGGAGGGAGTCACATCCATGACTCCATCCCAGGGTAATTCATTACACAGATTAATAATAATTTACAGTTTCTGGTTGTTTTTTAGTGTTTTGGAGGTTGAGGAGCATAAAGAGAACTTTATCTACAACCTCACTGTGAATGATATATAATAAAATGGATGGGAGTGTTATTATTATATAAGATTACAACAGATTGTCAGCACAACCTCGAGGTGGAATGAATTTAAATAAAGTTTTACAAAGAGTAAACGTACTCAGGGCCATGACCTACATATATTGATCCTCTGACCTTTGGGCTTCAGGTGGTTGTTTAAAGGAGATCACCTGAGGAGACTGAACTCGGGACTCGTAAAACCAGAAAGGCTGGAACATATTGAACATGTATTTTATAAAGTTTGTATGTGTTTATGTAAAATGTTGAACCTGAAAGCTGTTAAATGCAGCAGAACATCTCCCCACTCCAGTACTCGAGGGTGTATACACATCTGGATGGTCCTATATGTGACTGACTGTGAGTGTATCTCTGAGGTCGGCAGGTTGAACATCAGCCATTAACCCACAACTGATTAACTCTGCAGCTGTAAATGTGTCTGCTATCAGTCTCTGAGCAGGTAAAACAGGGACAACTCCGCAGCCTGTAGCGGGGCCAAATACAGCCTTCCCTCTGCTGTCCCCCCCCCGACTGCAGTGTCATATTCAGTCATGTCTAGACCAAATAAAAAGCCCTGGCCTACATTTCAGTGTGTGCCTCCATTTCCAGGAGCCTTTCAAAGAACTGCAGGGCCCTTCTGTGGAGTTATCAGTGGCGGCAAAGGCATAAAGAAAATAAAGGGCCCAGGAGTCATGTGGTGCCTGGAGTTCAAGCCAAGATAAGGCAGGCCGATAAGGGCACCGGCAAATATTTACTGTGTGTCCTCAGGATTTCATAATGAAGTGTTTATCAGAGCAGAGCCAAGAGGGCCGCACAAAGCGCCGGGGCCCCTGCCAACTAGGATCCACATACCTGTGACTCAGTGTGTGTCAATCAACAAAACCCCACACATACGCTCTGATTGAGGGTATTAACATTCATATATGTTGTGTCTATAGAAGATTAACCTGTTCTGTGTAAGTAAGTAGTGTGTGTGTGTGTGTGTGTGTGTGTGTGTGTGTGTGTGTGTGTGTGTGTGTGTGTGCTGGTTCATGGATCTGGAGCTCCTACAATGAAAGGAAACACTCTCTGGTTTGTGATTAGGGCAGGAAGAGTTCCACTTCCTGGCCACCACCCATTTCCACCTCTCCTTCGTCCTGCTGTTTTTCCTCCTCTGTAGTGGCGGCTTCTAGAAGTTGCTATTTGTGTTGCGCCGCGGCACGGGGAAGCTCAGCTCGTCCTGGTATTGTTTTGGCACGCTAAGTCCAGACCCGGGGGTCAAGTAGTAACAGGGATGCTGTTTTAAGACTTTGTTTCAGGCCTACATGGGTGCCAGATGGGTGGGGGGGGGTTTGTGGTTGTGAATCATTTTGCCTCAAACGCCCCCAATTAGATCCAGATAAGGCCTTAACTTTCACTTTGATCCGACCGCCCCCCAGGTTTTGTTTTTGTTGAGTGAAATATGAAATCTTCCGATCTTTAATGAGGTATAATCGCTACTTATAATTAAAGTGAAGACCATTGTGTCACTGCTGCCATAAATCAGTGAGGCACTCTTCCCTCTGTGTGCTTATCTGTGATTGTCAACTATGTGACACTATTCTGGATTCACAATGAAACAATAGTGTGTGTGTGTGTGTGTGTGTGTGTGTGTGTGTGTGTGTGTGTGTGTGTGTGTGTGTGTGTGTGTTCACTCAGAAGCTAAGTTGCCTTAAACTCCAGCTAATTAAAAAGGTTTTAGTATAATGTATTAACTCCTTTAGTATCTGTAATTTAAAATGAACGTTACACATTAAAGTCTTTAAAGGTCCAGGATGTAACATGTAAAATATCTAATAAAAACCTAATCAGGATTGTTTCATGTAAAGCTGCTTAATCACAAATCTTTTGAACTTAAAAAACTGAGTCTGTGTTACTTAAGATTTGTGATGTAATCCGTTTTAAACAGTTGGTTTGAGTTAAATAACTTATTGCTTTACAGTGTTTTCATTAGTGTATGATCAGCAGTTATTCAGCCTCGGATTATTTCTGATGTAATTTATGAAACTCTTCTGAGGGTCTGAATATATAACGCTGACCACTGACAGGAGGTCAGTTTACCACCGCCTCTCGTATTGTGAACAGCTAAAAACACACAATCCTCACTTTATTTTCAGGAAGCAGCCTCCGGCCCCCCCACCAAACTCAGCTGAGGTGACCTCCCCAGCTGCCGCAAGGTAAGCCAAGGTAAGCCACAGCGCAGAGATGCTGAATAAGGTAATGTTGTTTGCCCAGCGGATGTGAAGTCCAGCGACGGGGGTGGGGGTGTGGGGGCGCTGAGGCCGGTCACATTCGGCCAGCGCTGCTCGGGCCGCCATGTTCTTCCACTCCTCAGCGCCTGCAGAGCTGTAAATATTTACAGTGCATCTTGTGAGAGGCCCGAGTGTTTACCGCGTGCACGTGTGAGCGTCGCAGCAGGCGAGATGGCCCTCGTGCAGTGTAAACCCTCGGCTGTGTGTGTGTCGGATGCGGTACTTCCCTTGGTCTCTCCACGGTTTACTAACAGCCGGGTCCTGGCTCTTGTTCAGGGGCCCCTGGCCCCGAGCTCCGTCTGTGAATCAACAGCGAGAGCCTGGCGAGCGGAGAGGGGCGGTCGCACCTTCCTCTACCTTCTCTGACCTGCAACCGACAGCGGGAGGAAGATGGGAGAGGTGTTTGTTTACCTCCACATACGAGGCTGCGGCGCTGACATCACGTCTCTGCGGGTGGAACATTCTCATAAAACCTGTTTTCTTTACTCCTTCACCAATGTAAATAATACGGAGGGCGTAAATACCATTAAGGGCCCCGGCTCCAGCGCCATGCAGCATGGGCGGAAGTTCCACTGTGGTATGGTTAATGAGGTGCACACACACACTAACCTGGCCTGGGTCTAATTTAGTCTCAGAATATTGTTGGCCACAGAGACCACGATAAACTTACAATGCAAGATAAGACGCTGCTGCACCTCCCTAAACCTCCGTAAACCTCCCTACACCTCCCTGAACCTCCGTAAACCTCCCTACACCTCCCTGAACCTCCCTACACCTCTCTACACCTCCCTACACCTCCCTACAGCTCCCTACACCTCCCTGAACCCCTCTACACCTCCCTACACTCCCTACACCAAGCATGAAGAGCTGATTATGACTTGATAAATGAAGCTTATATGCAGTGTTCATCATCTAATGTAGATTTAACTGTGGGTCTGTTTCTCTTACAGCTACAGGGAGGTGACACATTAAAGGCAAAAGCTGGATTAATGAGGGAAGAAGAAAAACAAATGAGGATGGAAATCATGTGAATCATATCTGACCGTAACAGTCAGCAGATCTCAACCCGGTCAAACACTTATTTTGGAGCCACAAGTTGAACGGCTCCACCATCCAAACACCAAATGAGGGCATATATGTAACAGGAATGGTGTTCATAGAGTTCAGAGAATCAGTGCAGACTCGTGTTGGTTTGTACTTTAATCTGCAGTATCAGTATCAGTTATATGTTCCTGATGTGTTTGTATAATCGTAGGAATCACAATGTTAAATGTGGAAAGAAGTTATTTCCTCTTTGAAGGCGTGCACAGACTCACATTGAGCTGATGACACTTCATTAAGCAGTGAACTGTGGCACTCATACAGCGTGATGGACGGTTGGAGAGGAACCTCACAATAACAATCACTATCTCCGTGCCGTGTGTGTCACTCGCTGTGTACGGCCGCCTGCAGCTCACAGCGAGAATGAAGGCGTGAAAGTCTCAGGCCGGGTATTTAAGAGACGCAGCTGTAAAATCTAACATGTCCTATCTAGTTCAGTAAGGGGCTTTACTTAGACCGGGCGAGGCCTCTTAAACACGTGATTGGCAGCCGAGGCTCTGAGGGCGATAAGGAAGTATCTGTGAGGGTGAGAGGGTGGGAGGATGAATGCAGGGAGGGAGAGCGCCTGTTGACACTGCGTGCTTTTGGCCCACTTACACTTCTTCTGGCCAATGGCGTGAAAGACAGAGGCAGCCACACATGAGAGCTCGGCCCGCGATGAATGAAGCCTCACGGTCAGCACTGCGGTTTCTGAGAGAGCCGAGAGCGAGGGAGGCGGGAGGAGGGAGGAGGGAGTAAAGAAATGACGGAGTATGGCAATAAGATTGACATGGAGATATTTAATGGGGATGTTTATTTGGAGAGGAGCTTGGCAGCGAGCGCGGCCCTGACTTTCTTTCATTTGCCTTATTACTCAGTAAACACTTTTCAGCATGGAAGAGAATCCCTGAGGTCGGCGTGTGCACTCGTCCCTCCGTCCGTCCGTGAGTGCGTGTTCTGTGAGTCAGTGTGGATGTCCGTGCACCCGTGCTGCACCGGGGTAATTACATATAATCATCCAAAATGTTTATACTGTACAAATAGCATAACTATGCTGACTGAGTGGCTGTGTGGGACGGGTATAGCCGGCTTTGTGAATGGGCCCCGGCCGCTCCGTGATTACCCCG